TATATATAACATTACATAGAGATGTCTTTCCTTGTCTACCCATGAAAGATACTGCAGCTACATGTGAGTCTGTCCTTCTCTGACTAAAGGGCAAGGAGGGTGGTGGTAGAGTCCTTCACGGGAATATTAGCACCATGGGGAAGTTAGGAAAACATGTATGTAGGCCCTGAAAGAAATGACACATTTCCTTTCTAAGTGCCTTTTGGAAAAATATCAGACTATTGTTTTAAAATAACTTAAAAATAGAGCTTGGCACAGAATGACCATGTTCCTCAGGTTTTGGTTTAAAAGAAGACTTTTTTTCAGATAGACATGGTCTTGGAATACCAAAGAAAATCTATCCACTAGAAATATGGATAGAATAAGGAGCAAGAAAAACATAAAATGAGTTTAGGTGAGTGGGTGTAAAGTTGTCAACACATTAAGGAAAAGTTAAGCTGTTTTATCTGAGTAGAGAGAGCGGCTTAGATATTCATCAAGGTGGAATATATTGTGGCTTTGTAAAAATGAAGCCATTATCATCCTAGAGTTTTTAATAGTTTGCTCCTGTAAAATGTTACTAGACTGTATTATTGTGTTGCTTTCAATTATTTGAATAGGAGATTTTGCTTCCAATCTGAATAGTAATTTTTTTGTGTCTGTTGAGTCCTCTGTTGAGCTCCCTGCGAATTCATGATCCACACTTTTGGGGTTGATTTGAAGGATTTTAGAATGCACCAGCATTCTGTTCTTTAGACTTTTAAATAAATTTGTTAACTTTTTAATAAGCAGCCAAGCCTAAGCCTGTTTTTACACCCATTTATTAAACCAGTGAAACATAGTCTGCAGAAAACACAAAACGAATTCCTGTATTACTTAGTAGTAATTACACAACTTCAGTAGGTTCTTGGGAGTGCCAGAGTGTTAGGGGTCAAATTTAACATTGTTTTGCTTTAATCTTGAAAGTGGGGGATTTTAATGCATTGTTCAAGGAAGGGAAAGACTATGGCTTGAAAAACTGAAGGAAGGGAATTCCAGGTAGAAGGTGTAAATACAGAGATAGAGCTGACTGTCAAGGTCGAGTGCCCAATTTGGAACCTGATTCCGAAGTAAGGTTGGTCTTCTCTCAGCCTGGATGTGATTAACAATCTTTAAATGAAACACCCCAAGAGATAATTTAAGTCTTGCTAATTCCCTAGTGTGTTAGCTGGATACAGACCAAGTTGTGGTACTGCTGCTTGTCCCAAGGAAATAATGCTGTTTCAAAAATGCTGGGGTCTAGGCAGGTTCCACTTTGACCTTGGGCTAGTTTAAATATTCTGACGCTGCATGAAATTAAAATTTGACTTTTCTAGGTTAGATGAGTGGTTGGAGCAGACAACCTTTAAGGCTTCCAGCTCAGAGCGGACTCCTGGCTCACAGAGGGCTCCTTTATTGTCTGAACCGGCTCTTCTCTCAAGGGGACACAGGGAAGAGCATGTGCCCTCTGTTGAGTCCTCTATCTCTTTGAGTCCTCTGTTGAGCTCTCTGCGAATTCATGATCCACACTTTGGGGTTGATTTGAAGGATTTTACAGTGCGCCAGCATTCTGTTCTGTAGACACTTACATAAACCTAACAGATAGGTAACTAACAGGCTCAACCCCTTTGTGATCCTGTGTGAGTGAAGGCCAGTGAACTTGATGCAGATGAGGCACTGCATGACGCTCTGACCTTCAAGTGCCTTGGTTGGCCTCTCCATCTCTGGAAATGGAGCAGAATTCTTGATCAGAGTTAATGTTTCAAGGGAAATTGGCCTCTCACTTACTGCAATTCCCTTGGCTTCATCCCCTATGTTGAACGTAAGTAATAAAATGTATCCGTAAGCATTCTATGTGAAGTGACATAGAATATAGTCAACAAAGTGTTATCTAGTGTTGGTAGTTCAGGCCTAGGGATCATCCTTGTGAGCTTCTGCATTATTTTTGATGAGGGAGTCATACTACAGTGGTACCCATCCTGCGATGTGCCCAGATACACTGGAGAGGAAAGTTCTTGGTGGGCGAGGAGGGCTTAGAAATATAACCTGAGCTCCTCCTATTGGGCCACGTGAGGATCACATCTCCCTGGGATGCAGGGTCTGGGTCCGTTGAACCACTGATTTGAGGCAACCAACCCCTGGTGGGCTCTGAGCACAGGGCAGTGGGATGCGCAGCTCCTTGGGAGATGCAGCTGCTAGTTGACATGCCCAAGGTGGACCAGGCAACCGGAGAGGAAGCGGCACTGTGTTGGGCATGCTGAGAACAAGGGCCAGCGTCTTATTTAGGAATTATTGCTTCTTAAAAAAACAAACAAGCAAAAATCGGCAACACCATTATCACACCTACAGAACAGTACCTTTTAAATAATGAAATATATAGTCAGTGTTTATATTTTCAATTGTTTCATAGTGACATACGTGTATTTAACAGTTTGATTGACTCAGAATCTAGATAAGTCTGTGCATTGTGGTTGCTTGATATGCCTCTTAAACCTCTTTAATCACAGGCTGGTCTTCCATCTCTTTTTCCTCCCTGGCAAATTATTTGCAGAAAAAACTGGGTCATTTATCCATAGACTTTCCTGCAATCTCGATTTTTGCTAAATGCCCCCCTGTGATAGTGTTTATTATGTTTCTCTGTATTTCCTATAAAGTGGTAGTTGGATCTAGGGGTTTGGTCAGATTGCATTTTAAAATAAAGTTGTTATCATACTGCATTTATCAATTTTCTTTCACTTAACATCGTGTTGTGAATATTTTCCCATGCCATTAAGAATTTCTCATAACTTGGTTTAAATGGTTCAAACTGGAAAGAGGCATATTATGAAAAAGTTATAATCTTTGAGGTTTGTGAAAGAAGAAAGCCAAGTAATCATGAATAGTAACCAAGAACCCACAAGTAACAAGAGTGGTTTAAACGTTACCTCAAAGAGTGATACATTTTGAATGAAGATGTTGAATTACAAACTGTAAAAATCAAAGGTCTGTTCATACATGCTTTAGTCTGATCGCCCTCTCTCTCTCTTTTAATTTTGGATGTGAACATGGACTTTCTAGAACATCCTGTCACAATATAGGTACCTCAAAAAAAGCCTGCCTGATTATTTTACCTTGTTAAGTGGTATTTGAATGAAGAGGCTATATTTGGGATTTTTCTTGGTGTCTCATGCAAAGTATATTAGTACATGCAAACAACAGAAATAATGCAGGCGGGGTTAAGCCACTGTGGGTGTTTCTGGTAAGGAGGTTGGGGGACATAGCTTGGCCTCAGGAGCAGTCAGCGTGATGGATTGTCCACCTCGACTTTCTTCAGCTCTTTCTTGCTTCTCTCTATAAGTCTTTCTCTTTTTTTGATGTACACAATCCTTCAGTCCCAGTTGCAAAACATATGACCACAAACAGCCATTTCAAGTACTGGAGACACGCTGATCTATTCTTTTCTCTCCTGGTTTCTGATTTCCCAGGGAAGGAACCGATTTATCCACCTGGGATTAGATGCCCATTTCTGGTCTAACCCGTTGTGATTAGGGGTGGGATGTAAAGAAAAATTCTGAGCCATTCAGCGTGGCAAAGGTTCTGTTGTGACCAAGGCGTGCTATACAAATGCCTGCTCCTACAAAAAGGCCAGATCCAGTTCACATACCAAACAGCGTCATGCCCACCGTGCTGCTGGGTCATCTGATTTATCATCTGATTTATTTTGATGACTGAAGGTCAACATCTAGTCTTTGTTTTCTTTCATTACAACCTAATCCTATGCAGTAGTCTGCACAGCTCCTCAGTGTGGTTGGACAAGCTCTGACAAATGCAGGCACCCATGTAACCATCTCCCCACAGCTTGCCATTCATCATCCTAGCAAGTTCCCTCGTATTCCTTTGCATTCTGTTCTCCCCGGGAGCAAACATTGTATCCTCATGGACCAGTCTTACTTGTCTTGAACTTCAATCTGAACGGACACACACAGTGTCAACTTTAATGTATTTTAGTTCAAGGTTGTGAACATTGATCCAGTGCTGGCTGGGTGCTGGGATCTGTGTTGCTGTTCAGGATGCAGGGATGATTGTGGCAGCGCTGACAGCAAGGGACATAAGACAGGAGTCGTGCAGAGACAGAGCATGGCTGTGCTGGGGGGCAGCGGGAGGCCTCGGGTTCAGGAGCGGAAGAGGCCCAGAGCTGTGAGCGGTTCTGCGAAGGGATGAGCCAGGGTGCCAGGGTCACAGTATTCCCTGTTGTTCTTGAGGCGATAAGCTGGAATATTTAACTTTGGCGATTTGTCATTTTCCTGCCTTATGCACCGGATTTCCTGGTCTTCCTGTGTGTTCTCTGATGAAAGCGGGGCCCCGAGGCCTGGGGTGGAATGGCTTCCTCCCAGGGATGGAGACTGGGAGTTCCGCTGAGCCAGCCCAGCCTGGCCTCTGCTTTGTACACACATCTCCTGCTTCTCTAGGAACGTCCCCTTCCACACAGATCTACGGCTCCCCTCACTGGCTCAGGTGTCAGGTGACCAAGTTCACACTCAGTTTTATCAAGAAAAGCAAGTGAATGCTTAGTTTTCTTTATATGTTGATCACTATATCATGAGCATTTTTCATATGTTAAAGTTATTTCAAACATGACTCCTAATTACTACATAACTTACCACATATGGTCATACTATATGTAACCATATTTAATATCTATGTATATATATATGTATATATGTAGTTATGTACTTTATGTAGAAACGTACTATATACTGGGTGAATGTGTGAGAGTGTGTGTGTGTGTGTGTGTACAGGAGTGGGCAAAAGTAGGTTTACAGTTGTTCGTATGGAAAAAGACAAGCAGGTTCTGATTAGTACAATAACTATTAACTCTGTTTGCATACTTATAATGGTAAACCTACTTTTGCCTACCCCTGTATGTGCTCAAGGTCAGCTGGGACATAGTATTAAAAATAAATAAGTTTTACAGGAGCATAAAGAAGCTAAAATTACTATGTGCTTTTTTTTCCTCCACAGAACCATCCGAGTATGGCTGAAGAGAGACAGCGGCCAGTACTGGCCCAGCATTTACCACACAATGGCCTGTAAGTAGGGAACTGTTTCACTCGGTGAACATGTCTCTAATGTCTGTGGTGATTTAAATTTCAAAATGTCTATTAAAAAGTGCTGCTAGATTTCAGAACGAGTTTCTCAGTTGTCTAACCCCTCCCACTGGAGGTGCCTAACTGCAGGAAGACTGCTTTTCTTTTGCAGGAAGTTGGGTCTATTGGCTTAACTGAAGCAACCTTGAGCAAAACTGGAGGGGTGGGGGGAGGACATGCCCCTCCCAACCCCACCCCCAGTTTTCCTTAATTTTGCCAACTTAAACTAGTAGTGACTTAGTACTTAGTAATAGCTGATACTGACGTTCTGTGCCCTCATAACCAGCCTTGTGCCCAACCTTTTCACAAACCTCTGGGTTCCAATGGGAGATTTGGCCCAAAGTACTGCACATTCTAAAAAGAGAATTTTCTCAGTAGCTAAATGTGTTCTAAAAATAAATCTAGATCAGTCTTTTGCATTGAGGTTTTTAAGACAGCTGTGAGCTAAAGTGACATAAAGTTACATTTAAGTTCTAGCCCGTCATGCAGATGTAAGCGGCATTGCCATCCTCTCCCACTTCCTTTCTCCATCCTTTCTGCAAAAGAGAGCCCTGTGGAGAACGCCTGGACCCCACCAGGCCCAGCTGGGGTGGAGCCCTGCTGTCCCAAATGGCCACACAGAAGCATCCAGAGCTGCTCATTTCCTTGTGGCTTGGTCCTGAATAAGGGATTTTCCTCAGTTAAGTGTTCCCATATTTAGAGGGCCCCCTGGGAAAAGAAGAAAGGCTGCGGGGCATGCTTGATGGTTTTACTTCTTAAGACCATTATGAAGTTCTCCTAAAAGACCTTTTGCCAGTTGTTCCGGACACTGGTGACAACTTTCTTAAGAGTTGTGGCAGAGGCAGTGGAGTTGTACACAGAGTAGCCAGTTATTCAGCACATTCCACGGTCTGCGTGAGCCACCCTCCCAGGCACCTGTACTTTTATTCCCGTGAACATGCACTGTCCAGGCCCTGTGGTCAGTTACTACAAAACACGAGTGGTTTGTCAGGATTTTCATTTGTTCTGTCTTCCACTTGCAGCTTGGGCAGCCTCCTCAGCTTCTCTGTCTTGGTAATCATTCAGTGAAAATGAAGTAGACTTTTTGGACTACTGCTATAGAGATAACTATGTAATGGGCACCATAAAGCTTTATAATACAGAGTGCACTAGAAGAAAACCCAATCATATTGATTGGAGCAAGCAGTAGTATCTCCCGTTTCCGTATGCCGTGGCTGCATAACCTTGGTCACTCCTCTGAAATACGAAGGACCAGTGTCTTAATAAAGGTGCTCATGGGCCCATTTGATAAATTTACTTTGAGAGTTTGTTTGGAGCAGGGGTCAGAGGTGGGTGGGACATCCTGGGCCTCTGAGCCCACCGTCTACCCAACCAAAAAGGGTTTCTTTTAGACTTCCAGTGGCAGCAGAAGTGAGTACTCTTCCATGGTTCTTAGGTCCTGGGCACGAGGCTTTGGCCATCCCTTGCCAACTTGGCTTAATGGTACCTTCTGGAAGTAGCTCTCAGAACATCGTGACTGCAGAGACCAGTAAAAACTGGAGCGAACAGGCCCAGCATCTCTGCTGTTGGTGGCTGACCCCTGCATGTTTATACCTACACATATTTGGCTTGTTGCTTCTGGAAGCCTCTTTATTGCATCCATCTGGAGATGTATCTGCTGATAAAACTGCAGGGACATTGCCAGAAGAAAACAATGAATGAATTATGAGAAATAATTGCTTGTCTATTTTAGGATGACTTTCATTTTAAAAATAAATTCAAAATATGAGAAGAAAAGTGCCATGTTGGCTCTTAAAACTATCTGTAGATTACCCAAATTAGGACATTTTAGTGGTCAGCCACCAATTTAGACTTTTTCCTATGACCTGACTGTGATCAGCGAGCCAGACCTTAGCATATTGCTCTATGTGGTTCGATTATGTTTCAGAATGTTTCTTCCCATAACAGAGATAACTTTCAGAATCTGCTTTAGCTGAAAAGAAATGGTAACTCTTAGTTCCTGAATCTACTTTGTGCCTCATGCCTTTGTAAAAAATAATGTCACTTTATGAAATCATCGCAGCAACTTGGGAAGGTAGATGATATTTTCACCATTAGTAGATGAGGAAACTGAAGCGAGAGGGGTTACTGAGTTGCTTGTGGTTGGAATTCCAATCCATGCCTGTCTGACTCCAAAACTATGCTCCCTACCACAGGTATGGGGTGTGTCCATGAGCTTTTCCGGTAAATATTTAGACTTTACGGGCCAAACAATCTCCATGGCAGCTTTTCAACCTTCTGCCCTTGGAACATGAAAGTGGCCATAAACAATGCTAAAAGGAGGAGCCTGGCTGTGTTGCAGAAAAACAAAGAAACAAAAACTTTATTTACAGAACTAGACTTGAAGCATGTGATTTGGGATGGCAGTGATGCCTTTTTAAAAGGCCACAGGTATTTTGTTTGTTTAAGGTATTTTGTTTGTTTATAAAAAGGTATTTTGTTTGTTTATAAAACTATGTGAGTATCCAAACTTTTTTAAAAAAAAATTGTATTGCTTATCTCACTAGAAGCTTGTCTTCTAGGAAAAAGAGCCAGGACATCTTTATATACAAAACAAATAAACTAGGAAAGCTTTCTGTTTAAACTTAAGAATTCTATAGTCTCATAAAATAACTCAGCCCATTGTAATTTTTGCACAGAGAAGGGTTCTTACATATTTACGAGCAGTTTGTTAGAGGGTTAGGCATAAAAAGAATTGAAAGGAAGTTTTAAAGCATTAAGATTTAGTACCAGCTGAAAAGTAAGTAAAAATAATGACAATGAATCTTTGAAATGATCAAAGTATGATTTGATTTGTCAGTGATCATTTTATGCGTGGTTATTAAAGAGCACTGTGTATGAAGATACATATATCTTTGTGGTTATAATTCTTAAACATGATTGTTCTTTGCAGTTTCAACAGCAACATGGGGCTAAGGGGGTACAGGCTTCTTGCCACTTCTCATTGTTCTGTTTACAGGCAAAGGCAGTACCTGCCTTTCAGCTAGATGGTTCTTTGCTGCTCAAACAGTTTCTTTCTATAAGCTGGTCACGCAGTTAGCTGTGTTCTTGCCTTTGAGTACAATCCAGTACTATATTATAGTTTATTGTCTGCCTTTGGTGGAGAATACCAGTCCATTGTAGAGAGAGAACTTTAAATTAAACAAGTTTCAAATGGTGACTTCACGTATAAGGTTTTTTCCCCTTACTTTTTCATATGAAGTTTTATTTCAAAGCAAACTCAAGTTTGTTGTTTTTTTCCTGGCATGCATTTATTTCCTTGTTGTGGTTCCTTCCTGGGCAATTACAATTCTTAGGATGAAATGAACCCACACATTTCTTTTTACAAATGCTCCATTTTCTAAATCACATTGATTCTGATTTGTAGCCGAAGGAGACAGGTGGAGTTGCTCCTTTCTGAAACTCATTCTCTGGCCCTTGCTATCTAGAAGGGTAGCCAGAACCTGGAGGGCAGCAGGTGCTACCCAGTCACATGATACTGCTGTGGACAAAGAAAAATATACGCACAACTTCACTGACTACACACTGGGGTTGGATGTCATTGCACAAGGGAACATTGTTTGGCCAGTGAGGGGAAAAAGCAGTTCCAAAGTGGCTTTTTCAGCCTTCTCACATATGCCTTGGAATGGGAATTCTTGTGCCGGGAACCCCTCTCTCCACAGATTGCAGCTACTCTTACCTGTGATAGGGAAGGAGGGCAGGGGCAGGATGACCCACTGAGTTTGGGGTGCAGATCACCCACTGTAAGCGCTGGTCCCCAAACCTTTCCAGAAACAGGTAGGAGTTTCAGTTAGATGAAACTTCAGGCTGGATCACTTGACCCAAAGTTTTAAAAATAATTTTATGTGAGAATTTTAAACTAAAATAACAGAAAGAACTTTATTAGCATTTTCAATTTACATCATTATTTTTTACAAAACCTTTTTACCCTCTTTTTTTAACCTCCATCGTATAGCTCTTTTAATAATGAATTTTGCACAATGACACAGTGCTTAGCTTTGCTATAATGTGGTCTTTGTCTTTCTGGCAGCTCCTTGCTCGGCTATGACTTACCATCATGATAGCAGGCGGATATTTGTGGGCCAGGATAACGGAGCCGTCATGGTAGGTACTTTCCAGAATGTATGTATTATGTCGACCTCCCCATGTTCATGTCTGTTGGACAGTTTAAATAAAGTTAGCAATAAATGCCTGATTGGCATAAAATTTTTTGACTTCAGTATAGGTGTTAGACCTAAAAATGGATTAATTTTATTATTTTTTAAAATATATTTTTATTGATTTCAGAGAGGAAGGGAGAGGGAGAGGGAGAGAGAAACATCAATGATGAGAAAGAATCATTGATTGGCTGCCTCCTTCATGCTCCCACCTGGGGATGGGATCGAGCCTGCAACCTGGGCATGTGCCCTTGACCGGAATTGAACCCAGGACCCTTCAGTCCATAGGCTGACGCTCTATCCACTGAGCCAAACTGGCTAGGGCAAAATGGATTAATTTTAATGAGTGCTTAATTTTAAACCAGTTTCGTGGAACTCAGAATGCTGTCATGATGGATGGTGGGGTACACAGGCTAGCCCACAGGTGCAGTCTCCATGCAGCCCCTATCCCTGGACCACAGAGAAGGCCAGGACAAGGAGGGTGCGGTGGAGAGCCTGTGTGTGCATGTGTGTGCGTGTGTGTGTAACAGAGGAAGGGGAAGGAGAACCGAGTTAGGGACTAGCCATTCAACCAACAACTTGTATAGCTCTTTAGGGCAGTGTTTCACAAGTATTTTTAGTGAAGGATCAGGTATTTACATTTTTAATTTGTTATAGGTATTTTTGTGGGTCAGATTGTGTGTATATGTACATATACATTTTTTCCTAAGGAGACATAATTTATATACCATAAAGTTCACCATCTTAAAGTGTGCAATTCTGTGGTTTTGTGGTATGTTCACAAGATTATGCAACCATTAACACTCTCTAATTCCAGAACATTTTTATCACACCCCCGCCCCCCCCAAGGAAACCCCAGCCCATTAGCAGTCACTCCCCCCAGCTCCTGGCAATCACTAATCTCCTTTCTGAGTCCAGAGATTTGTCTGTTCTGACATTTTATGTGAGTAGAATCATATAATACATGTTGCCTTTTACGTCTGGCTTCTTTCACCTAGAATAATATATTAAGGTTCATTGCATTGTAGTTTGAATTAGTACTTTTTTTGTTTATTATGTAGATAGACCACAATTTGTTTATCCACTCATCAGTTGATGGACATTTGGTTGTTACCACTTTTTTTTTTATTGTGAATAATGCTGCTATGAACATTCGTGTGCAAGTTTGTGTGTGAACCTAAGTTTTTCATTCTATTGGGTATATATACTGAGGAGTGGAATTGCTGGGTCATATGGTAAATCTATTTTTAACTCATTGAGGAACCCCCACGCTATTTTTCAAAGTGGCTGTACCATTGTACATTCCCACCACCGACGTGTAAGGGTTCTAGTTTGTCTACATCATTGTCAACACATGTTATTTTCTGTTGTTTTTGTTTTGTTTTTACTATGGCCACCCTAGAAGGTGTGAAATGGTATCTCATGATTTTTGTTTGCATTTGCCTAATGACTAGTGATGTCGAGTATTTCAGTTGCTTGTTGATCATTTGTGTATCTTCTTTGGAGAAATACCTATTTAAGTCCTTTGCCCATTTTTTATTTTTATTTTTTTAATTGTTGAGTAGTAAGAGACTCAGACTTGCAGCTTGGAAGAAGTTACCAGAGAAACCACCTAGTGTCCTGGGTTTTTCATTGTGGAAGGTTTTTGGACTACTGATTTAATCTCTTCACTTGTTACAGATTTTCTATTTCTTCCTCAGTTCATGTTTGTTGTTTATGGTCTTTCTGGGCCAAGAAGGGAAGAGCCAGTACAAACACAGGTTCTCAGCCCAAACAGTCCATCCAGCAATGGGCAGGTGGTAAGGACTTGGGGGCGACAGAGTTAGGCTTTGATGAGTTCTGTGCCCTATGAAGTTGGGGCTGCTGTAAATACATTACGTAGTAGTTAAAGCCAACATTCTCGCTCTACTTTTTCTGAAAATATTGTAGGAAAATAATGGTGATGTGCATATACAAATGTAACAAGGATCCATGAACTGCAAGCCTCAAATACTTTCTCCAATGGTGGCAATGGTTGAGCATTTCTTTTTTTTTAGGGACCCTTCTTGTGGCTCCTGGTTCAAGGATATCAGTAATAGGATAGCCTACAGAAACCCTTATAGCTCTTCAGTGGAAAGGGGCAATGTAAATCCAACTTATCATTAGCTAGCTATTGATCTATTGATCTCCCACCCAAAACAGATGAGTATCCTTAAGACACTAAGACATATTTGTAGTTTGCAAAACCAGGATGGAGAACAAGAAATTTATATATATTTTTTCAGTCTGAGTAGTCAACAATTTATAAAGTCCATGTTACCTAGAGCCTTAAAAACATCAATTTAGCATTGGTCAATAGAATTTTTTATTAGGGCTTTTTTTATAAAGAGGTTCATCTTTTTTATTTTGTGTTGGAGCTCATTTTTTTCATTAAGCGTATACTTTTAACTTTTTTCTAGTTATAAAGTATTACACAGTCTGTAAAAATTTAGAAAATACAAGAATATAAAAAAGAAGAAGCCCACCCACAGCCTCTTAATGTTCTCTTTTGTGTATTTGTATATTAAATATGTATACTTCCCCCCTTACATTACTTGGAACACCCTATGTTTTATTTTCACTGTAGTTGAAAACTCTGATAGTAATGTGTTTTTATACTTTCACTTTATATATATCATCTTGAGGAATTTTTGATGTAGCTCAAAGAGAAAAAATGAACAAGTTGCCTCCTTTGCAGTTAGAAGGAGAGGGACTTCAAAGCTTTCACTGCGGAAGAACTGGATAGAAATGCTGTGCTGGTCAGCGGCTCTGTTCCATCTGGTCCCCAAAACAAAGGGTGGCCTGAGGACAGGACCGCATTATTGTTCTGTAGCTGATCTCAGTCCCAGGTCTGGTGATAGCTATTTTTGGATTTCACTTTGTTTTGAAAGTTAAATTCCTGTTGTTTTTAAAACCATGACTATATTCTTATTGCTTGTGTTTACTTTTAGGAATTTCATGTTTCTGAAGATTTTAATAAAATGAACTTTATCAGGACTTACCCAGGTAATTATAATAAAATACACACACACACACACACACACACACACACAATACATGTAGATCTGCATACACAAAACTAGGACACCATCTCATATGATCAAAAGTAGGTTTGGTGAAGGCCTGGGGAGGGGGGCAGGGACGGGCTAGAAAGGTCAATGCAGGAAGCAGAGGGACATATATAATACTTTCAGCAATAAAGATTTTTAAAATAAAGTTATAAAAAAAATAAAAATAAAAATGTAGGTTTTCATATTAACTTTTTAGTTTTGTTACCCCAATTAAATAAGAGGCTATTAGTTCTTTGAAGTTATTTACCATTCTTTTCCTGCTTATTAATATTTAAATTTTTGTATACTATTCCATTTGGGTACATGTATCAGATTTAATTTAACCATTGCTTTATTTTTAAACATGAGTACTGCTCCTACTTTTTGATAATGCCCACTCACTAACATATATGGTAGTGTATGTATGTGTATATATATCTGTGAGTATATGTATTTCATATCTATGTATATACATGTGTGTGTGTGTGTTTCCTTTACTGTTACTCTGACTCTAATTACTTCTATTTAAGACAAATTCATAAAAGTAGAGTAACTGGGTCAAACATTAAAATGTTTTTTTAATGCTCTAGATTTATTTGCAAGCCTCCTCCCAGCAATTGTGCAAATTTTGCAATCTTATGAATGGCGGTTGAGAGTGCCTGATCTTTAAATGTTTACAATGTTACTCTTTATAAATGCTTTTTGCCAGTTTGATAGTCAAAATAGTTCTCAAGTTAAAAATTATTTAAGCTGTATTTAATGTTAACCCTTTGTCATCTTTTATGCATGTCTGGTTCATGCTTTGCCCATATTCCCAGAGTCTTTTCTAATTAATTTATAAGAAAGAGTTCCTCAGTGCTCCTGCAGCAGCCTGTACAGCTGAGAGCAAGTTAGAAGTTTCTCTGTCCCTCAGACTCCATTCATCAGCCTGGGCATTTACTAAGCACCTGCTCTATGCAAGGTGCTGTATCAGACGAAGTAGACAGGTCACTGCCCTAGTGGCTTACAATTAACCTGCACACTCAAATATTTCACAAGTTAGGTCACAGACAGAACACTTTCCTTATTCTCAGCTCTTATTTTGGTATTTTGGAATATAGAACTTCACAATATTTTGTCTTTATAAATAGTAAAAAGTTACACACAAATTGCTTACACTACTTTTTAATTACAGAAAAGTATAGTAAAAGACTTTATAGTTTATAAAGTCTTTTGTAAAGGGCCAGAACACTGAAGTTATGGACAATAAAAAAATTTTCTCTTTTAAGAAAAGACTCCTGCTTTCCGTATGGAACTCATTGGTAGGTAGGGCTTTTTAGAGCAAAGTGCAAGTCTGTTCTCTAATCTGTGATCGGAATCCCTCGAGCATTACTCCTTAACGATTGGTAGCTTCTGACTGTTGCCACGTAGGCAGGCAGCGGGCAGGGCCCTGGGAAGCCCATTATAGGGAGTCGGGGTAGGGCAGGTTATCTGACACCCGCTCACAGTCGGGCACCCCCATGATGGGATGTTGTGCATCCCCAGGCCAGCCAGGTGGAGACGGTCAGCCCACGGGATTCAATTCTGAAGGTCCCATTTCTTCCTGAAGGGCGCAGACTTTCCGTTTCTGTTCCTACAGCTCATCAGAACCGGGTGTCTGCGATTATCTTCAGCTTGGCCACGGAGTGGGTGGTCAGCACCGGCCACGACAAGTGTGTCAGCTGGATGTGCACCCGGACCGGGGACCTGCTCGGGAGGCACCTCTTCCCCTCCTGGGCTTCGTGTTTGCAGTATCCTTTGAAGGGCTGGGCCTCCGCCTCCTTGTCTCAATGATTAATTTCTATTCTGATCATAAATTGTTAATTGACAAAAACATCCAAAAAGTAGAATTAAAAAAATGAAAAACAAAACAGAGGAAAAAATGTAAAAAAGACTAAAAAAAGAGAGAGAGAAAAAGGAAGGAATAAACAAAAAATAAGGTTAAAAAAGGAATAAATTGTTATTTGAGATCCAAAGGCTGAAGGATTCCTGATATTTTACATAAAATCTAAAATTTGCTTTATTGGTATAAAATTGGTTTATTAAAAATAATTAAGTGACTTACCATTCCCTGCTGGGAAGTGCTGTACTTTTATTTATTTTTTAATATATTTTATTGATTTTTTACAGAGAGGAAGGGAGAGGGATAGAGAGTTAGAAACATCGATGAGAGAGAAACATCGATGAGCTGCCTCCTGCACACCTCCTACTGGGGATGTGCCTGCAACCAAGGTACATGCCCTTGACCGGAATCAAACCTGGGACCGTTCAGTCCGCAGGCCGATGCTCTATACACTGAGCCAAACTGGTTAGGGCTGTACTTTTAATACAAAATCTTGGAAAACCTAACCCTCATTATTGCAAACCCCTCCCCTCATTCCTTTACATTTCAAAGTGAAAGAAAAGACTTTTTGTATAAAGAAAGAAACAAAAAAGGAATTGATCTAGTAATTGGTTATTTACAGACCCTGCAATAGAATATACTAGTAAATACAGTAAGGCTTATGACTCTGGAGTTCATAAATGGGCTATAAGTTTTATAGTTGTTTTTTTGTGTATAGAGAGGGTTCATAATTCTTACAATACTCTCAAAGGTGCCTCAGCATCCCTGAAATTCCTGCTTTAAAATTTTTTCACTGGTGAATGGAACCTTTCACGTGGAGTTCGCCCTTGCTTAAGGCTAGCAGTGGTAGCTGTGTATCTTAGTGCCGGCAAGATCAAGGCTGTCGGCATCAGTAGTTTTCTTTCAGAGTTGGACATCTGGCCTAGTAAAATTCCTTTTTTCCTTTGAAAGCCTTCATAAAAAATGTTTGCTACAAATGAATGTACATAGAACATGAGATATTTAAAATAAGCGTATAAATTAGAACCGTACACTTTAGAATCAAACAAAGGAAAATATTCAGATACGTTATGTGCTAATTAAATGTTTCTGTTCTGAGTTAGGCTTTTCATATGGACTGGTAGAAAATGCCACAGAATCACAGTCATGGCCTAGCCCAGTGGTCAGCAAACTGCGGCCCCTTGAGTGTGGCTCTTCCACAAAATACCATGTGCGGGCATGCACATACAGTGTGATTGAAACTTCGTGGCCACACTCCAGGGGTCAAAGAGCCGCATGTGGCTCGCGAGCTGCAGTTTGCTGACCACTGGCCTAGCCCATGGTTGTCCTTCTGACCTTTAAATAGTAGTATCCTACTGTGTGTCATCTACCAATTTGCCACAAATTTCTATGGCTATAATGTCACTGAGAAAGTGATAAGTAAATATATTTTTAAAACTTAAATTTACCATTGCCCCAAATAACTGCCTTTTGGTTGAATGAACTCTCCACAGCAATTTAAAGTGAACCATCCTCTTTACTTAAAGCTAAATCGTCTAGGGCTCTAGGCCAAAGGAAAGATGGGTCATGTCCGTATTGGCTGTCAGTTTTACATTATTTCCAGAGATATTTCATGAATAGCCATTTTCCTCCCGTTCTTTCTTGCTTTTTTCATTATTGAGTATTTCACTTTTTGTGTGTTTTATTTTAATTTGATTAGAACTACTTGCTCTCGTGTCTGTCTTCTCTGTTAGCTGTTATCTTTTTTATTGCCAAGTTCCAAATATTGCTTAGAGTAATGACAGATACTCAATTAATTCTTGTTGAATGATTAAATATTAATTTTCTCCTTGAGTCCAGCTTAAAACTATTTTCTTCAGTATTTAAATCTTGCATGATTTTCAATCGGCTATTTCTTTTCTCAGAGTTTGAGCTTGTGCTTATTCTCTTTAAAGAGAACATTTTCTGATTTACAACTTTGAGATGGATTGTGTTGGAGATCTTTGACTGCTTCCCCACAGATACGATTTTGATACCCAGTATGCTTTTGTTGGCGATTATTCTGGACAGATCACCCTGCTGAAGCTGGAACAGGACACCTGCTCAGTTATCACAACCCTCAAAGGACATGAAGGTAGTCTGCGTCCTCACCCACAGCTTTCCCACCTAATTTTAGCATCTGAATTTAGTTCTCAGCCCTGTGGTTTCATGAATGATCACCTCCCTGTGATCTGTCAGATTTCAATTTGATTGGCCAGACAGGGGATTTAGATCTCGAAGAGTGAAGGCCAAGTGAAGGAAGGGTGCTGGGTTGGGTTTTGAATTGTCAAAATCCCTCCTAGGTTGCTTGTGTGGATCATACTTTCTACTTTGTTTACCATTTTCAATGCAATTATTTTCAGAAGACCTTTTAAAATGTTTTGTAAATGGTAAAACCTTTTCAGGAATGTTAGTGTTTTTAAATTGTCAGTTTCTAGGACACTGAACAAGACTAGTGGATCAGTACAATGAAAAGAAATGTATGGGCTGGGTCATCCTCTACTTGGGAAACCTCCCCTGGGAAGGGACTGAGGAAAAAGAGGTCAGGTGGAATTTCATTATTTCTACAGTGCAGTGAGTTGGCAAGGCTCCAAGAAAGTGTTTTAAAACTCACTTGGCTGTATTCGGTAACAAATTAGAAGCTTCGAGGCCATCTGGTTTAGATCGAAGAATTGGGGGTTGTTAAAAAGAATTAATGATGGACTTTTATGAAAATAGTGTCTTAAGTCTAACAAGTTAAATGTTCTCCACGCTGTCTAAGCAATCTATTTAGGTGAAATCAAGTCTGTCAGACAGGGACCTTGTAGAGGAAAAAGGAGAAAGAACAGTAAATTAGGGTAGACGTGGGCAGGAAAGCACAGCCCCTGAGGACACCCCTTTCCGTTTATGACTAAGAGTCTCATGACTCTGGGCTCGTAAGTGTTGCTAGGTTAGAGTGGGTTCTGGCAACTGCTTAGTCATGTTTGTATAGAAAGATCATGTTTGTCTGCTATTAAGCCTCTAGCTAAAGAGTGTGGGGCATAGGTTTAAACAGGGTCAGGATTTATACAAAATTATGCCTGAAGCCAGTTTTGCAGAATACTCCCCCCCCACACACACACACTTTTGTTAAGTTTCTCTGAGAAACCGCTTGTGCTGTTTGCTTTGAATTATATAAAATATTATGGGCTTGTATGACTGGTTCAGTTTTATTAAGCTTATTAATCATTTTCTTCTAGGTGAGCGACAGTCACTGGAGTAATGATGAGTTCTGTTGAGAGAGAAATCAGTAGAAAGAAAGATTTTCTCAAGGGTTATCTAATCTGATAAGTTTAGCCAATTTGGACTTGTTACCTAAATTTCTGAAATACCTGCAAACCTTTCCTTCGAGACACTTAGTTTTCTCAAACAGGCATCTTGGCTGTAAAACTGCCTGCGAGGTCCCAGAGGTCTCAGTAGTCTGACTTTCTAGCTTCTATGAGATGACCTCAGTAAACTAACGGCCTGTTCTCATTAAATGTCAATGGCTATATTTTTCAAAAGCTTTTTATAGTCTTTTCAACAGCTGTTTTATAATTTTGAGGTACGGAACAAGGAAATGTTTATTGGAACATCTTTGCCCTTTTGTACATCTTTGATGTACAACTGAAGACTTTAGTCTTACGACCAGGAGAGTGGATGTGCTGTGTCTTCTCATGACTCGTGATGAAGCGTTGAATGGCCCTTTGTACAGTGAAGACACATGTTTCCTGGAAGACTCAGCTGTGCTAGTTGGGTCTTCAGCTGTCAAATGTGTGTGCCCTGACATGGAGTTAACTTAACCAATCCTCTCTCTCTCCCTGCCCCTCCTACTCTCTTCCTCCATCCCTCCTTCTCTCCCTCCCTTCCTCCCTCGCCCCCAGGTAGTATCGCCTGCCTCTGGTGGGACCCCATCCAGCGGTTACTCTTCTCTGGAGCCTCTGACAACAGCATCATCATGTGGGACATCGGAGGAAGGAAGGGCCGCACGCTCCTGCTCCAGGGCCACCAGTGCGTGACTGTTCTGGGGGTGGGGAGAGAACCCGAGTTTGGGGAAAACAGGAAACTGTGTTTCCAAAATGGCCATTTGATAGGGCTGACGGCGTCCACTTTTAACTGCTTTTCTGATAGTCCTGAGTGTCTGGTGTTCTGAGAGCAGAGGGTTTTCTTCCTCCTTGGTCCAAAGGGCACTTCCCACGTGTCTCTCCCAGCGAGTCACCCTGTTGAAATAAGCTGCTCAGGCCTGGAGCCCAGGCGTGGACTTTGACCATGGACGTGTGTGTAATGCAATACTAAGCCATTCTCCAATCGGATGCCTAACTCATTTTCTTAAATTATAAAATGTATTTCATTAAGAAGGAACATGTGGTTTGATGTAGTCGTATGGCCATTGCTATGACGGTGTAATACTCAGGCTCTTGCCATCTAGTCTTGAAAGGAAAAGGAACCCTTTCCCCTTTGTTGGCTAGGTTGTCACCGTCCACCATAACCAGAGTCAAGCCGAAAAGTAGCCACGGAAACATTCTCCATTCAAGCCTACAGGCCAGGAGATTGTTCCCCAGAGCCTCCACGGTATCTGCCTGTGTACATGTGTGAATGTGTGTATGCACACGTGAGCATGTGTATGTGCGTGTGTGTGCATGTGTGACCATGTGTGTGTGTGTGTGTGCATGTGTGAACATGTGTATGCACTGTGAGCATGTATATGTGTGCATGTGTGAGCATGAGTGTACCAGTAATCTCTGTAGTGTGTGACCACTTGTTATGGTTGGGTTCAGGCAAGGTAGTTACACCTCCTTTGTTCTTTGTTTCTGAACAAGGAGGTAAAACGTGTGCACCTGACAAGGAAATCATGGTGATTGGTCCAGAAAACTGTAGTCATCATCTCTGACCTGCAGTTCTTAAAGACTAACTTGAAAGTAGTGTTTGTTTTGTAGAAACTATTATTCTTATAGTAAGTTAGAGAATGCCAGGTAGTTTACACCGAAATCCATATTCCCACCCCACAGAGTGAGTGATAAAGGCCAAGGGCTGATTCCAACAGGGGAGAGAGTTGTGCCTCCATGGAGACTGTCTGTTTCCCATACTGAGACCAGTGCTGGTGTGTATCATCCACAGTGACCGGGTGCAGTCGCTGTGTTACCTTCAGCTCACGAGGCAGCTCGTCTCCTGTTCCTCGGATGGTGGGATTGCTGTGTGGAACATGGACGTTAGCAGAGAAGAGGTTAGAGGAGGAAGCGGGCAAAGGTGGGGGATGGGGGATGGAAAATCTGTCTGACCGGGTGCCCAGCGAGAGGGATTCCCCTGTAAGGCACCTTGTGGTCCCACCAGCTGCCCCAAGTGGTTGTTTGCCAGATTCTGTAAAAAGGGGTTTTTGTCCAACTGGTTGAATAATTTCAAACAAATTTGGCATAACAAAAGAAATATACGAAGGCAACTCTAAGAGTTCAAAGGAGAATTGAATAATTTCCTCATATCTATAGGTTGAAAGTTGAACAATTCTGTAAACATTATTAAAATGATAACGATTACTCAGAGCACACATAGTAGTGAGTATGGCAATAGCTACAAAATACTGAGAATTTTTAAAAATGCTAACCTCAACCATGTTTAGAACTATTGTATGAATTTCTGAAAAGCCAGTGTAAACATGCGGCCACGCTGACGTTGGCTCTCTCTCTCCGCCCAGGCTCCTCAGTGGTTAGAAAGTGATTCTTGCCAGAAATGTGAGCAGCCCTTTTTCTGGAACATAAAGCAGATGTGGGACACAAAGACACTGGGGTTGAGACAGGTATGTAACCAACTTTGAGTCACCACCGGGTTAATCGTGCATTCTGTCACTTGTGTAATTCTTATTTTGTTCGGAATCACACTACTTCTCCAGAAGTGCTGTTAATTCATACTTTTTTTTTTTATATGACCACTCTCTGGTGATAATGAGCAAGACCTTTCCTCGGGCCAGTGAGACTATGCCATGGCTGGTCCTGCACTGGAGACTGTCCCACGGCTGGTCCTACACTGGACACTGTCCCCTAACTGTCCCATGGCTGGTCCTGCACTGGAGATTGTCCCCTAAATGTCCCATGGCTGGCCCTGCACTGGACACTGTACCATGGCTGGTCCTGCACTGGACACTGTACCATGGCTGGTCCTGCACTGGACACTGTACCATGGCTGGCCCTGCACTGGACACTGTACCTTGGCTGGTCCTGCACTGGACACTGTACCATGGCTGGTCCTGCACTGGACACTGTACCATGGCTGGCCCTGCACTGGACACTGTACCATGGCTGGTCCTGCACTGGACACTGTCCCCTAACTGTCCATGGCTGGCCCTGCACTGGACACTGTACCATGGCTGGTCCTGCGCTGGACATTGTACCATGGCTGGCCCTGCACTGGACACTGTACCATGGCTGGTCCTGCACTGGACACTGTCCCCTAAATGTCCATGGCTGGTCCTGCACTGGAAGAAGGGGATACATAGAAAACCCAAGCCTGCTGGTAAATAGATACAGATCTTTCCCTTTGGGACTGTTGTTAAGGTCACTGTTTCATACTAGCCGAGCACCAAATTAGAATGAATTAGGGCATACAAGCCTCATGCTTTCACAAACTGATAAAAAGTAACAATTTAGCCCTCACTGGAATACTGTGGCTCTAATAATGTTAGATTATTCCTAAATTGTTCCACATAAATCTACCTGGAATATTTTTAGTAAGCATGTGTAATATTTTTAAGCATCTTTCAAGTATAATTTTTGTTTTTTAAATTAAAACTAGCCTATAGATTTCAAAGATGTTCTTCTCACTAGGTATGCACAGATACTAAAGTTCTACAAATATATATATGGCAGACTTGAAGGTAGCCACTCACTCAGGTTTAATATGAATTTGTGCAAGTAAGTAAAAAGGAATGCTGATTGTACTCATTTTATTACTGGTTACACCTCTATGAAGGATTGGCCTAAAACTTGTGTGTGGTAATAAACTTTCTTGGATTTTACTTACAAAATTGTACTCCTGCAAGGTCTAATATGAGACTGTCAGGCAATGCAGGAATTATTTTAGCACTTAAAACTTTCTAATGCTCTGAAAATGGTACCTGAATTGTTTCATTAGCTATTTCTAACAATGCGTGTCTCGTGGAAACTAGTGCAATGTAGCTGATGGGTGAAGAAGTCCCTACTTCTAAAGGAAACATGAAGAGATTAATTTTACTTTTATGATTAACAGCTAACAGCAGAGGAAATGAACAGGTCTTTCAGTATAAAAAAGTATGTCCGAATCAGTAATAATAACTGGACTATTTTGGAATGTTCTTGAAGCTTTATTTCCAGAGTCACAATTGAAAGACTAAAAGAGATAGTAAAACATCTGATTAAGCATGTTGGTTTCTTAATGAGGGCATATTAAATTTAAAACCTTATTTCTTGACTTTCCTTTGATATAGAAATAGATTTCTCCTTCCTGAACTCTCTAATCAGTTGAGCTGCTAAGTGGACTTGAACTTGGTTTTAATATTTCTTGACATCGAGACACAAGATGAATGAACAAAAAGCAGTATCTGACCGATATAGTAAGGTTGTTTGGAAATCCTTGTTAAATAGTGCAATTGCCCACCTTTTGGCTGTTAACTGCTACATTGACTTGGAATGATTATAAGTCAAGGCAAGATTTCCCCACTTCGATCCATTCCCCTGCTCTGAAGGGAAACCCTGTGCATTAAAGCAAAAGTGAAACTCCTCCTTTCCCTCCTGAAGCACCACTGCAGGAAGTGCGGGCAGGCCGTCTGTGGGAAGTGCAGCAGCAAGCGCTCAAGCTACCCCGTCATGGGCTTTGAGTTCCAGGTCCGCATGTGTGACTCCTGCTATGACTCCATCAAGGATGAGGAGTGAGTGTTTGCGTGTCTCAATCTTACTGTGCGCCTGAAACAGGAAGTGACATAGATGTACTCCTGCCCACATGTTTGTGTCTCCCAGTTTCATAGACGATGTCTAAAGAGAGGATCCTATTCTAGCTTTACGACATAGGACAGATTTCTCCCCAAAACTGCGAGAAATGATGTTGCTAGGACCAGCCCTGTCTTGAGCCCCCAGCACTCAGGGTGCTGTGCACACTGACGCAGTGGCCAGCTGGTTCTCTCCAGAAGCATTGAATGCTCTCAGCTTTGCTCACCTGTGCGTGGAAATTTAATTACTGGGAAAATTCTAGAGACCAATGGTTTTTTCCCCCCACCAAGATCTGACCTAGAAATCAGTTCTTAACTATTTGTGTTCAGACATTTCTGTCTGTTCCCCATTCTGTCCTGACTCAGGCAGTTCCACTAGGGCAGAACCATCATTTTCGTTCCCTTCCTGTTGAGTCATCTTTGAAAGTAGTAGATGGGCAAACCTTGGCAGAGGCCCGAGTTGGAAAGCCAGTGGGCACCATTGGTCGGTGAGTGCTACTCCCTGGGCAGCAGAGAGGTCTGGGAGCCTGCAGCTGTCTCGTGCCCACACTGTGTGATCTCATGCAGGCAGTTTCTCTTCTACGTGAAAGGCTCTATAAGTACAGCTGACTCTTGAACAGTGTGGGGATTTGGGGTGCTGAACCCCTGGCAATTGAAAATCCACAAATAACTTTTGACTCCCTCAAAAACTTAACTACTGGTAGCTTTCCGTTGACCAGAAGCCTTACTAATAACAAACAGTTGTTTAACACATATTTTGTAAGTTATATGTATTATATACTGTATTCTTACAACAAAGTAAGCTAGAGAAAAGAAAATGCTATTAAGAAAATTGTAGGGAAGAGAAAATACATTATAGTACTGTACGTATTTATTGAAAAAAATTTGCGTATTAGTGGACCTGTGCATCACACCCATGTTGTTCAAGAGCAGCTGTATTTCCTTTCTGTTGCTAAGAAAACGTGTCCCTCAGCTCTAGGTATAGTCAGGTGACTTCTAAATGGTCCCTTTTCTCTTTGTTAGTCGGACTTCTCTAGCAACCTTTCATGAAGGAAAACATAACATCTCCCACATGTCCATGGATGTTGCCAGGGGACTGATGGTGACCTGTGGGACCGATCGCGTTGTAAAGGTAACCTGCATAATTGTCCCAGTTAGCATCTCTGTGTAGACTGCTCCCTCGTCATGCTGCGAATGAGGATGACATTTCTAGTCCAGCCTCACTTTCTGATTGGCAAGCTTGTCTTCCCCTTTCATAAGCTACCTATAGTCATGTGAAGATCCGCAGTAACAAACTGCATGCCTGTGAGTTTCCACGCCCTCGGCCTTGGCGCTTCCCAAGGCATTTCCCTTTGCCTGGCACCCCTGTCGCCATCTGGCTGAGCGAGCCCAGGGTTTCCCCTCCCCAGCTGATCCCATGGCTGATCCTTTGCTGAAGCCATTCCTTCCTGTGCTAGTTTCCTTCCATCCTGGGCAGAAGGCTTCTTTGTAAGAAATAACCACACTTTTTTTTTCATTAATTCCCACTAACACAGAAACTGAAAGTAACTATTTTATACTTAGTACCACTCTTAAGTTGTGAAACTATGACATATATTATTTCATAATAAGGTATAGACCAGTGATGGCGAACCTTTTGAGCTCGGCGTGTCAGCATTTTGAAAAACCCTAACTTAACTCTGGTGCCGTGTCACATATAGAAATTTTTTGATCTTTGCAACCATAGTAAAACAAAGACTTATATTTTTGATATTTATTTTATATATTTAAATGCCCCTTAACAAAGAGTTCGCGTGTCACCTCTGACACGCGTGTCATAGGTTCGCCATCACTGGTATAGACTATAGTAGAACATCATTATGATGTAATTTTCAGGTGTCTAGATACTGCTGAAAAGCTTTCATCACGTTTAGTGTTTTATCACTGTTGGGGTCAGGAGGCAGTTTTGCACTGAAAGAAGAGAATGAGCTCCTTTGGCCCTTTTCCAGTCCCACGCCTGTTTGTGTCAGTCCTGGCTCTCACGGGCAGACCAGGTGACCAGTGCTGCCTCCCGGCGCCTTCTCTCCTGCAGATATGGGACATGACGCCCGTGGTGGGCTGCAGCCTGGCGACCGGCTTCTCTCCACACTGACCCGGGAGCCGCGAGGTCTGCACCTTCCCAGCGGCAGCCTGTACAAGCGCCACCCTTCCCTGTGGCACCACAGTCACCATCACGTGGACAAACAGGAGCCACTTAAACACAGATCAACACTTTTCAAAGGAAAAAAAAATGTAAAGGTGTGTTTTGGGGAATTTGTGGACCTACCTGTGGTTCCCGAGGAATGGAATCCCTCCAGCAAAACTTCCTCACGAACAGTGAGCTGATGTGGACAAGATTGATCTAGCAAATAGAGTTTTAGAGAAAAAAATATTGAACTAAAGAGTTGATGCCTAAAATGTTCTTATAACAACTGCAAGTACACACACACATTCCCCTTGACCTGCTGGGCCTCCGGGCCCTGTGGCTGCTGTGGGAGCAGGAGTGGGGCAGGGAGGGCGCTCTCTTGAGGGAACGCAGTAGGAGCTTAAGATCCCAGCGACTCCTCATGTGCTGGCAGGAAGTGCACCTGCTTTACACTTAGTTATTGACACTCATTAGAGACATCTGTTCTCTTCAGTGCCATCTGCACCTAGTATTTGGCTCACTTCACTTGTTTGTCCTGCGGGCAGTAAGCCATGGGCAAACCTCATGGTGGTTGTGAGTGAATTGTGAATTCCTCTATTAACCAAGGCAGTCCAAGTTCTTCCTTCCCCTCACACATGCTCTGAGGACAGAATGTTTTTGTGTTGCCATTACCATGGGAGTCACACAGCTGCCTGACTGTCATTGCAGTTAGTAATGACTGATGGAAAACCCAGCTACCAGCCTGCGTGCGGTGGGAATGATCATTCTGTTCCATGGAACAGCCCAGTCCTCCTAACAGACACTTTCTATTTCTAGTTCAAGGTGAGCCCCATGATATTGTGGCAGTTAATATACACCTCAGACAAGAACTCCAAAGCTTTGTAAACAATGTTGACTTGTAGTCATTGTAACTAATATTAAATATATTAGTTACGTAACAACTTGCAAAATCTGTTGTATCAAATGGTGTTTGAAAGGGTTTTGGCCACTTAGTACCAGAAGGGGGAAGAGGCGGGAGAAAGGGCACCTTCTTTTAATATCCAGATATGTATTGTTTGTTTTGAACAATAACACGTGTATCTATTACTTTACGGCTATGGAAGTGAATGGAGAGAGGCCTACATTTTTTAAGGATAAATTTAAAAATAGCAACAATATTTTTGTTAGTCTGACTGATGGATATTGATAGAGGCTCACTACTGTGTAACTCTGTCGGATTCGTATGAAGACCACATGTTATTCTACATGATACAAGTAAGGGACTCACCCTGTGTCTAACAGCAGCTCAGAGGAACTGTAACATTTGACAGGCAGTTAAACTGAAATGTCAAATGGCGAAGGGACACAAATGCTGTGGGAAAGGGATGGGGTCAGGCACACCCTGTTTTAGAATGATCTGCAGTGAAAGTTGACTTGCCTCAAAAATAAGACCGAAGGGTGTATTGCTCCTTGTAATTTTTGTATTATATCACCTGAAAAAGATGTTTTCTCTAAAAACTTTCCCCAGGCTTTCTGCAAAATGTACATTACTAATATAATCTGGAAGGAAAATCGAGTGATGCTAACTTCTAAATGGCATCATTGACTGTTGACTTGTGTTCAGTTAGGGTTCAGCCCCACAAAGGTGCTATCCTGGGGATTTTATGAAGTCCTGCAAGGAAAATAGAATGTGATCAATTCTTTTCCACAATGAAGAGCACTGAACTGTGGTTCCATTTTTCTTTATTCTGTAAAATGTGACTTTAAATGTCTGTGGTAGACTGAGTAGAACATCACAGCTGCTAAGAATATGCCATAGCTTTCAAACTTCTTTTTATTTTATAAAAACTTTTTAATGAAGAACTCCAATGCTCCATAGAGACTAAGATTGTGATAGTGCCTCCTAAGGGGTTAAGCTAATAATATAAATCAAGGAGGAAATGCATATTTAAGGAAGAATTAGAGTGTGGAAAGGAAAGGAGATGTTTCCGTATTGTTTTCTCTCCACCTGAGCCTGTTACCATTTTTCTGTATGAAAACACACATGGCAGCCTTGTCTTGCCTCTGTCACAAACTAAGTAGCAAATGAGGGCATATTTTCTATAGAGGTGGGCAAAAATTATTTTCTCAATTTTACTGACTTGGGCACATAAAGATAGTACAGCTAGGCTTATAGTTATTGCCTTACTTTGACTGTGTTCCTCTTAAACGGGTCACTTTAGATAGGTCTTCAAGTAATGTTTACTGGTTTTTCCATTCCTGGGATACTCACGCTCATTTGTACAAACGGGTTAAGAAGTATAGAATGTTAGAGAAGATCCTTATGCTTAGCCCTAGTATGTATAGGACATGAAAATGCCAATTCTTCATTTTAAACATGTTTTTAAATTGCCCTTTATTAGTGCAGGTGATGGAGATATCTCTATAGCAATAGGTGGAAACATTATTCATTTCATTGTAAATCTCTGTTTGCTATGTCCTAGTCCTGTCCTGCTCCTGGTGGATATAAACAAACATATTGGTCTAGATGGTATCACTTTGTCCTCTCTGTACAGAATTCAGTTTGTTCATGTCCACATTTTTAAGTTGAAACTGGCCCAAGTATGTAATAAACTCGATAGTGGCTCACACCCAAGGAGCTATTTTCTAAGATCAGTTTTTTTTTTTTAAATTAGTTTCTACTTTCATTACTGGATCTGATATCCCTTAAAATGTAAGAAACCAGTTACTATTAATGATAAACCATCTGCTCATTATAAATGTGAGGCTTAACAAATAAGTAAGACATGCTATATTTATTCATTGTGAGCAGATTACTGAATGCCTACTCTATTTTCTGCAGTTTATTATACAGCAACTTTTTGAGTAAGTTGAAGTTTAATTGTGCGACAAATTTGCATTAGAATATACCACTTTAAGTGTTTTTCTCTATAGCCTTTTTGACTGGGGAGTCGGGGCAATGTTGATTAGTACATTTTGTCCCTGTACTAGCGATGTTTCTATAAGATATGGTGCCCTACGGATCCCAGAGAGCTAAAAATCTTTGTCCTTTGCTCCTATTTGTGGGTTCTGTTTTTGTGGGGGTTTTTTGAGAAAATGTGTACAATAAAATATTCCTTGCTTGTTACTCTGTTGCTTAATTTAGCTTTTGTTTTTTGATCTGGACACAGGGCAATAATAGTAGCTGCTATGTGTTTAGCACCCTCGGTGTGCTGCCTGCTCTGCCGACTTTATGTTATTCAATCCTGGCAACACTTCAGTCATTATTGTCCCCATTCACAGATGAGAAAACCAAGAAAGTCCTGTCTGTCTTTCTGGCTGTCTGACTTGAAGCACACACCTTCTTCATACCACCTGCCTTAATGTGCTAGTGCAGGGGTGGGCAAACTTTTTGACTCGAGGGCCACAATGGGTTCTTAAACTGGACCAGAGGGCCGGAACAAAAGCATGGATGGAGTGTGTTATTCAATCCTGGCAACACTTCAGTCATTATTGTCCCCATTCACAGATGAGAAAACCAAGAAGGTCCTGTCTGTCTTCATTTCAAACGGGCCAGATCCGGCCCGCGGGCCGTAGTTTGCCCACGGCTGTGCTAGTGTGTAGTGTGTTATGTAAGGGAGGCAGGTGGTGGTGTCTCTTTTGGAGTTTATGAAGCCCTGGGGTCAGGTGGCTCAGCACATCCAGGCTCTCAGCCTGCACTGTGAGCTATGAAGAGACGCCAGATCTGTGGCCCAGTCTCCCCCTCACAGCTGTTTTGTCAATAAACACGGTAGTTCTGACCTAGAAGAAGTGATTCTTGGCTTAACTGATAAGAGGTTGATTTGGAAACCAGAATGGCCGTTTACTATGCGATTAAAGAGATAAGCTTTATTTTTTCTCATTCTCAAAATAGTATGTTTATTATAATAAAAAGAAACTAAAAATAAATAAAAATATCAAAAAAAGCATAAAAAAGATTTTTTGAAAACCTGGTGGCACTGATAGGTGGCTTTTGTGATGACGTAACTCCAATCATTCGTTTCCCATGCATTCTGAAGAGCAGTGATCCCTAATCTGTATTTTATGACACTCCACTATTTTAAGTCATTTTATAACTGTTACAAAATTTCTTTAGAAAGTGAATTTTATTTTTATCTGAACTAGATTAACATTAATGTGCAGAAAAGAATATAGAGTCATCCCAAAATCAAGCTGATTATTTGAAATAACTTAAGGAATCACTCTTCTAAAGTATGCCTGTTAAACTAGTAACACTCTTAAGAGACTATTACCTAAATCTAACCTCATAACAGGGATTGTCATCTATTCCTATAATACTAAAGAATAGCCAATAAATAGCCTGTAGACTCCACCATGAAAATCAAATCCAACTAATAAAGTCACAAAACAGTCACATGGTTTTAACATTTCAGAGTTACAGGTATCATTCCCTTATTAGATAAATGTGATATTAAGTTTTGGTAAGAATAGAAAACAATCAGATATTTCCATAGCTGTGAATTCTTTCAGTTAATTCCGTGGTTACAAGATTTGCCTGATTGCAGCTTGTTGAATTCAAGACCCCATAAGCCACAGACAGGAAGATTGCATTTGAACAATTGCAAGTTTATGTAAACCATTTTTCTGGACCCATCACATGATTTGACTCACATCATGAGACTTGACCGGTGCATGGTTAAGGATCTGTTAACCAGCTCTGGTTCTAGCCTGAAGCTCTGTAAGGCAAGGACGAGCCTCTATGTCCATATCCTCACTGCCCTTCACACAAGACCTGCGCAATCCTTAAAGGCTTTGCTAGCACTTTGATTCTCTAAATCTTTTCTGTGTCTCATTTATTGATTCGGTAGATTAGGGAGCACACCTAGGTATGTTCTTCCCATCCTTTGTCACATAAGGCTGAACATGCAAAAATGTTACATTATGTGCACTTCATTGAGCTGTTACCTGGAGTTAGAGGAACTCATTGGGGAGCAACTTCTATAAATAAGTAAGAACATCTGGTTGAATTAACCCCATGCGGTACTAAAAAGAGGAAGAAAGGGAGAGGAAAAAGCATATGGCCAAACCGAAATTTGTTCACTTCTGGATTTACTTGTGTAAAAATAATTCTTTACATAAGTAATGAGTGGCTTTATTTCCAAGTTATTAATGTACTTTTGCATTTCTTGTATTTTTAAGGTCAGATATGACCTCTTACATCTCTTGCTTCAGGAGTCACATCTGTTAATCTATCAAATGACTCCCAGGTTGCAAGTTGAAAACTTAGGCAAGCTTGCAGACATAAGCCTACCTTCAAATGTATTCCAGAACACTTGTCACCATTCTACTACTGCTAACCATGGTCCAGTCTTCCCACCGTCAACTGGATTTTTCTAGGAGCTTCCTAACCAGTCTCCCTGATCCTGCCTCTGCCCTACCAGCCGGATCTCAACACACAACTCAGATCATGCCATTTCTGTACACAACCCTCACGGCTCCCATCCCAGTGTAAGCCAAGTTCTAGAATGGTGCCTTATCTCCCTGAAATCTATGATGCTCTCCTTGCTTACTCCTGTCTAACCACATTTCTTGTTTTCCTCCCATAGCAGGCACTAAATAAATAATGATGCTTGTATGTGTACAATTTGGCTGCTATGTGCCTAAATGAAAAGGAACTCGTGAACTTTCTTGGGGAGTGAAACCATTTGTTGTGACTGTCCCCTCCCCTGTCATTTCTACCCATCTTATTCCACCTGCCAAACTACCGCTACAGTTTCCTGAGACAGGTTATAGAGGATAAGTACACGAGGGACATGATGAGAGGTTTCTTGCTTTTCTAAAACATAAACTACTAGTTCTGAGTGTCTAATCATCATAAGACAACTTTAAGACAATTCCACTTTAGTGGGTATGTTGGTTTTGAAATGTTTCTGCAAATTCTTACACTGTGTTATTGAGTGTTTTCTTCCCTTAAGTCTGGGCCAATCTTAGTGACTCACTAATGGAATGTAGCAGAGTGAGAAGTGACACTGTGCAACCTTGGAGGTTAAATCAGAAAGAAAATGCAATGCAGCTTCCACCCGGTTGTCCACGGGGAACCAGCTGCCTCTGAGACCACAGGAGTCCTGACGAAGTGAAGATGGGACCTGCTTTGGAGAAGTGGATGGGGAAGATGAGAGTGCTGCGTGGACATGCCGCTGAGGCAGAGCTCACTTTTGGGTGGAGAGTTGAGGTGTGTTATCTAGCCCATCCTGAGTTCCTGGTTCACGGGATAAGAAGAACATAGAGGCTTTCACAAAAGGTCGATACTGGACAGTACCACACAAGGTCCACTGGCCCAGACCCTAGAGCACTTGTTACCAGTTAAAGAAGGAACTGGTAAAGTCTGAACGAGCAGGGTTGAGGTTGTGGGTGAGACTCACTCTTCAAAAGTGGCCAAGAGTGCTCTGTAGACATGGAGGGGAAAAACCCCCAGGGGTCTCCGGTAGAGCTGCTGGCCGAGAATCACTTAGGATTTAGAAAAAAAGGAAAGGTGCTAGAGGAGACTGGAGCCCAGGGATGTTCCTCAGTGAGGTCTGAAGTGAGTTTTATTTTTACTCATTAAAACATTTATACAACATTGATTCATTCAACATGTATGCATTGAGCACATACTCTGCAACAGCTGTGGTGTGTGTGTGTGTGGTGGTGGGGGGTTGGGGGGGGGTGGAATTGGAAGGCGGCCAAGAGCCCAGGCTGCAGAGCTGGCCACCTGGACTGGAATCCCTCTTGGGAGCTGTGCGGTCTCAGACTATTTATTACTCTCCCTGCCTTACAGACACTAATTATAAGGAAATCTAATGCCAGATTTCTTTAAGTGCAAGGTAGGGAGAATGATTACCTCCAGGGAGTGTTGTAATGAAGATTAAACAAGTTAATGCATATAAAGTATTTTAAACACTGTCTGTCAAAAACTTGATGCCCAGTAAATGTGAGCTATTTTGATGTGCCAGAGTGGGCCAGGAGATCAGAAATTCAAAGACTAATAAGTCTCAGGGACTGCAAGGCACTCAGAGGCCCCTCATTCCCCGCAGGTAAAGTCTGCGTACCCTCGTCAAAGCCAAGATAGTGTCAGCCAATCCCAGACCTGGTTCCCAGGCCTGCTGGATGAGGTGGTGTCTGAAAGCCCAAGTTGCACCCGTGGTTTCATGTCTGAATCTTTCTCCTCTGGTTTCTGATTGGCCTTTGTCACTCATGCCCTTTCTTTTGGGGGCAGAGACCACAGTGCAATGGAAGCTGCACCAGCCTGAGAGCCACGTGTGGGGCTGCCAGCGACTTAGATAAATTGCAATGGTGACGCTGTTGAGTCTGTGAAGTTGGGTGAAAATTTCGAAAGTTACATGTTTAAAGTAGCTAAAAAGTGACCAAGAGAGCACTGAATCCAATTCTTCACCTCTTCCATGACCTTGAGACCTAGTGAAGGTCAGTGACTGGACCTCCAAAGGCAAGGCAAAGGCAAGACTAGAACCTAGATCTCCAATTCTCATCACAGGCTCCTGGGATTTTAGAATTGAAAAGAACCCGGGGCAGTACACAGTCCAAACTTCTATTTTTACTGATGAGGACACTAAGGCTCGGTGGTTGAAAGGCAGTTCATTGCTGCCCCTACTTCTTAGGCCCGCTGAATTGAACTGATATTCTTTTTTATTAAGTTGTACTTGGGAAGGTGGAGACCAATTATAGGAAAAATAAGGTTCCTAAGAATGGGCTGAGTGCATAAAGGATGTTTTCCCACTTAACATTAATTTTCTTTAGGTAGAGGGAAAAAGGTTTATACTGGTAGCTGTTACTCAAAATGAACACAGGGTGTCACCATGGTCATGCCTTATTCTGAAATTAGTCTGGTCTTTAAAAGCCTTACTACAGACTCGAAAGACTGTTAGCATCTAGTCCAGGGGTGGGCAACCCCTGGCACGCGTGCCAAACATGGCACGCCAGTAACTTTTGCTGGCACATGACACCCTCTCTTATAATCTTCCATTTACAATTTTTTTTCTTAATATCGACTTTTTTATTTTTCAGATAAATTCAGTGTAGGTGCATCTTAGATAAATAATTTTACATAACAAGTTATCTTAAAGACCATAGACATGGATTGACAAGAGAGGG